AACCCCTAAACCCTAAACACTCTGAAGCCCTGGAACCTTCCCCGCGGCCTCCATCTCAGACTCGTCGAAGGCCTTGCCGGTGGGATTGTGCCTGGAAGTGGGCTCGGAGGCTTGAGTTTAATTTTATTATTATCATTATTACTGTTATTNNTATTCTTATTATTGTTATTATTATTACTACTATTATTATTATTACTAGTATTATTATGATTATTATAAATTAGTTTAGGGTGGGCTTGAGGGGATAGGGTTCAGGAGCTTGAGGTTCGAGTTTTAGAGTTCAAAGGCAATTTAAGTGCTATCGGGTTTTGGGTTTAGGGTTTAGGGTTCAGGGTTTAGGGTTTGGGGTTTAGGGTTTAGGGTTTAGGGGGTTTTTTCCTCTTGTTACAGCTCTCGATCTGTGGGTTTCGACTCACACACTCGAACAAGGCCGTGGGTTTAGGGTCTGGGGTAGGATGCGGGATTTCGGAAACAAAGCCGAAAATAGAGAGCCAAGCTAGCCTCACTCCATGTGGTCCAATCTAGCCTCCGCAATCCACCAAGGACTAACCATGAACAAGCGCCATTTGAATAGAGAGCCAAAGCCATAGGATCCTTGCAATCAACGCTGAGAGACTCCCTGGACTCATGTCACGGCAGGTCGCACTGCTGCACACTGCACAGGAGGTTTAACAGTTTCGGGTTTGGGGTCCTTGTGGCCTTGGAAATTTAAGGCTTCAGGGTTTAGGGTTTGGGGTTTAGGGTTTTAGGTTTTGGGGTTTTGGGGTTTTGGGGTTTTGGGTTTAGGGCAGTTTAGGGTTTCGGGTTTGGGGTTTAGGGTTAAGGTAAAGCAAATATCCTAAAGCACTAAGGCTGCACAAGCCACCAACGGAGGCCCCTCAGTATGCATACCCTCTTCCTGCCACCTAGAATTGGGACCCTGTTTGAACGGACGCTGAACCCAACCCCTCATACTCGAAACCGCAAACCCCCAAACCCAAACCCCTGCAGCAGCACCCTCATAGCAACCCCTGAAGCAACGCCCCTGCCACCCCAAACCCTAAACCCCAAACCCCAAACCCTAAACCCCAAAACCTAAAACCCTAAACCCCAAACCTTAAAACCTAAAACCCTAAACACTAAACCCCCAAACCCAAAACCCTAAACCCCAAAACCTACAACCCAAAACCTAAACCCCTAAACCCCATACCCAAACCCTAAACCCTAAACCCCCAAACCTAAAAGCCTAAACCCCAAACCTAAAACCCCAAACCCTAAACACTAAACCCCAAAACCTAAAACCCTAAACCCTAAACCCCAAAATTTAAAACCCTAAACCCCAAAACCTAAAACCCTAAACCCCAAAACCTAAAACCCTAAACCCCATACCTCAACCCCTCAATCCTAAATTCCCACCCGGCCCCCTTGGGCCGTTCCCACCCATAACTGGGTGCTCAGACACTGAAGATTCCCGGCAGCGTTTACACCCGCACTGGGCCAAACAATGGGTGGAGCCTATGGAGAATGGTCGAATACAGCCCCATCTGGGC